CTGCAACGTTGATAACTCGCATGACATTGGAGCATAAGATGCGATATAACGCAGTTAGCTTGTAACTCTTGTCGGTACTCCGCTGTCCCCTGTGGCTTAAGCTGCTGACTGGCGGTGCAAGCAGTTAGTGGTCATGGGTTCGAATGCTGTTGCGTACTATTGATGCCGTCGGACAGCCTGCGATTGCCGTCTGGCGCTTTCCCGGACACGTGGAGGACAATTTGATTTGGAAACTGCTGTGACAACGTAATTATCCTCTTCTGGGCTACTCCAATATTAATCATCAAGAGTATGAGCAAGGTCCAGACAATATATGACTGCAAATTGCAAATGATCAACGCAGTCGGATGGGGAAAACGGCTGCTGTTCCTCAGCTTATCTTTGTCTTCCGCTGCACACTCCAGCCCCACCTCACCCGAAACCACAGCGTTGACTGGCGGATCCACTGGCACGTTGATGTGTCGGACATCCAGGCCTCGTCTTCTCCTCTTCAGCCCATCTTAGCGCTTATCAATTCCCCTAATTCAATTTGGCACCAGCGCTACCATGCCTTAGTTGAACCACTGGCAAATTTGTCGGCTGTACTCCCAAATCCAGTTAAATATCTCTCTAATCACCACTCTGTTTTATCTGCTTGCGCACTTATCATTCGCTTGTGGAACCACTGACGCGTTGGTAGGTTGGACACCCCGGTCCCCTCATTACAACTTCTACCTACCTTGTCTTGATTTTATCGTTCGCTATTGAAACATATCATCATTATGCACCTCAGCTAGAGATGGAAAACACCTCAGCTACTGTGCCGCTATACATTAAGGGAAAGGAAAATAAATACAACTGTTGCATGCCAGCTGAGCTACCAGCAACGGATGGGCATCGTTCCGGTAAGCTACTAGCCGGCCACTAGGCAAAAGGAAAAATTATCATGTTTAACGCTACGGAATGATATCGTAGGTGGAGGGGGAGCCAAAAAAGGGATGGAGAGGGACAAAGAAACTCACAACAAGAACGCCACTGAGGTCGGCTCCTTGCCATGTCAGCAAGTGTATCCAGCCAAACGTGTTCACCGTCTTTCGGACCCCAACCAGGGAGCCGAGACGCTTCAACCGAGGCCAGCACAGAAGTGAGGGCCTTCATTCCTCTCGACCAAGTCATCGCTTGACCACCACGCCTCTTCTTCCATCCACAGCCCCGGCGCGAAAACAACGCAAGTCGAGGGAGTCGGTGGGTTTGCATGCGCGACACGTGGCCCAACCATCGGAGCCTGGTGCGTGAAATGACGGTGCTGACCGGTTCATTCCCTTTTCCTAGGCCGTAAACAAGGCGTCGAACACGCTCGTTACTCATGCGGTGTTTCCACCAGATGTGAGGCAAAGTGCGAAGACACCGATGATCAAACGTAACAAGCCTCTTCATTTCCGCCGATCTTAGGGGCCAGGTTTCGCAACCGTACAGAAGTTCGAATGTACCGCAGCATTGTACACTCTACCCTTCAGCGCGAGAGTAATGTCGCGCCGTCGCCATAGGTGACGAAGATTAACAAAAGCACTTCGAGATTTTACTATACGGTTCGTGATCTCGTCTTCGATCCCAAGGGCGCTGATACAACTTCTCAGGTAGTTGAATTGCCGAACGACTTCTAGCTGATCCCCACCAAGGGTCAGCACAGGAGGCGATCCCTGCCAATCCTGGAGGAACGCTTTGCATTTCGGTGGTGCAAAGCAAAGCCCGAAGCGGCTGACAGCCAGTGCTAATCTGTCCAGCGCGGCTTGGCACGTCTGGGAGCTGTCACAGATGAGGGCAATGTCATCCGCATACTCAAAGTCAAGAAGTCGATCTCCTGGGAGTAGCTCCACACCTTCCAAGTCATGTCCTGTATATGCAATCTCCATGACTTCGTCAATAGCGAAGTTAAAGAAGAAAGATGACAGCAGGCATCCTGGTCTCACACCGCTGGAGATATTGAAGGGTGGCGACAGATTGCCGTAAGCCCTCACTCTGTCCGTGCTACGCGAGTATAATGCTCGGATAATATTTACATATTTCTCGGGCACACCTTTCCTGAGTAGACAATTCCAAAGGGCACATCGATCAACCGAATCGAAAGCACCTTTGTTGCCGAGGAACACGACTACGGTGGGCCGCCAATATGTGTGACGATGCTCCAACGACTGACGCAAGGTGAAGATGTGGTCGATGCAGCCACGAACCCGACGAAACCCGGCTTGCTCCTCACGAATCTGGCTTTCACGAGCGCCAGTCAGTCTGTGGAGAATTATGGACGCGAGTAATTTGGAGGCGATGGAGATCAGACTGATTCCTCTATGGTTGCCGCATTCCGAGCGCGAGCCGCCTTTGAAGATGGGAACAATAACGGAGCGGCTCCAGTCGGTTGGGACAGTCTCTTGCTCCCACAGTTTCACTAGTAATTCATGCAAAGCATCAACAAGAGCAGAGTCCCCGAATTTGAAGAGGGCTGGATGAAGATCATCTGGTCCCGCGGCTTTGTTCAACTTCAACAGTCCGATCTCACGTTCGACTTCTGAGCGAGAGGGTGGATCCAAAGGGACAGCCCACGGAGCAGGGGGATCAGTGACCGGCGAAGAATCGAACAATTCTAACCGATTAAATCGCTTTTCAAATGCTCAGCCCAACGGCCCAAACGCTTTGACAAATTGTGGATAGGCGGTCCACTCTCGTCACGCATAGTTTCGGTAACACCAGGTCTTCTGCTGCCCGTTTCCTTTATCAGACGGAATAACTTACGATGGTTGCCAAGGGCAATGGCCACTTCCATCTCTGACGCACGATGAGACCACCAAGATTCGCGGTCTCTTCAGGCTAGCACAGAGATTTGCTCGGAGCTCTTTGCGAATTTCATTGTTTTCGCTTCTAGCCGAAATATGCCGGCGAGCATCGATAAGTTCCAGAGACCGTGAAGAGACCCAATATCCATGTTGGCTATTAGACATACCACATGAGGATTTGCCTGCTGTTAATGAGGTCTGGTGTACATGTGACCAGTGACCTTCAATTGTTTCCAGTGAGCGCTTGCTCAACTCGCATGTCAGCGTACTTCGATACGCATTCAGAACAGCTGGTTTTGTCAGTTGGCTGGTGTCAATGCGCTCACAAGTTCGCTGTGGGCGTCCGACAAAACGCATCCGCATGTCAGCACATACAAGTGCATGATCGATGCCCACACGTGCTCCAAATCGAGCGACAGTTCTGGATGCAGCCTCTCCAGCGGTAACTGATAGCAATGTGATCGACCTGCGTCCAAGGCTAGTGGGCACCAGGTCACCCTCCAACGGGTGCTGTGTCGGAAGTTAGTGCTCGCAAGAAATAAGCCAGCATCTTCACACAAATGAAGTAACCGCTCACCGTTATCATTACGGGAGCCTACACCATGTTGGCCACCCAGATGCATATCATCAGTGGACAACTTTCCAACTTGCGCGTTCATATCCCCCGCCAGCACAACAGTGTCCGTGCTTCTTCTGTGGCGGAGGAGCTGGGTCAGTTGGCGGTAAAAGTCGTTCTTTACCGAATCATCGCTACAGTTTGTGGGCGCATAGGCAGCGATGATGAATAGACATCTATTAGTCCCGCGCGACTTCGAAGATTTAAACGAGCCAGCCAATCGGACCGCACACATCCGGCTACTGATTGGAATCCAATCAACCAGAGCAGCTTCAGCCCGGGGACTCAGGGCAATACCAACACCACCTTGGCCGGTGCTCGAAGCTGCATCGTCACCGGATAGGCGCAAGGAGAAAATACAGCTTGCGTCCCCTGAAGGGGATCGCAGAGTGAGCACAGAGCTCGAGTCTTGCAGGCGGGTCTCTGATAAGCAGCAGATATCGATCGAGAGGGTCTCCAATGTTCGGGCAAGTGCTGCCTGTTGACCGATTTGTAGCAGTGTGCGTACATTGAGGCATGCCAATCTGAAGGAGGATCGAGGGCTCCAAATGGAAGCCGATGAACTGGAATGGACCGCCTGGATGGACATGGGCTTGTCGACAGGAGAGGAGTGACGCTCCGCGTTCACATATGAGTTGAAATTAGAAGATAAATGCCTAGCAAGCATGTTGGGGGAGGGCCAAGAATCGGGGGGTTGAAAACTGGGGGGATATAAGTGAAGTTGGAACGGGATGGTAAGAGTGAAAAAGTGTAAGATGGGAAATCAGAAGACGGGAAGGCTTGAGCAGTAGCATCCATACCCCTATCCACCCTGCTCGATGTAGCAGATAGGGCACCGTTTATTATCCTCTGCGGTGGCCAGAGCATCAAGAAATTGTTTGAAGGAAAATTCATAGTATTGCGTGGGCAGGATACTGTCAGGTTGCCCAGGCCTAGACAGGAGAACGATTAGGGTTCTCAACCAAAGCCTTTGGTTCAAAAACCTGACCGCAAGGCAGCGGGTTTGGCGTTGGGCTCCAAGGAGTCCGTTTTAAGGAATAAGGTGCCACCCTCATTCCAACCCTCAACCTGGAGGACATGGAGGCTGAGTATGTCTGACCTCTAACCATTGACCAATCTGGTATGAGGGACTCTGAAGGTGCAAAAAGCACCACCCAGTATAGCTCAATGCATCGCTGAGGCACACAAACCATCGCACCACGGTAAGGTCCAGCCTTATTGCGATGGTCTATTGAAACAACTAACTCACTGATAATATGAATGTGATAAGCACAATTAATATGCAATAACAGTTCTGAGTGAAACGTGTACATAATGATCAGCTCAGGTTCACTGGACGTTTCACAAGTTTCCGAAAATTTCAGTTTATTATTAGTGGTATTATCATTAGGTAATCTGCCCGTCGACGAAACGTTTGCAGCGAAAATACCCAGCTCGGAGAAATGACCGAATGCCCTCATCCGCACCTCGAACTACAAATATTCTTCACAATCGCCAGATGTAGTGTACTTCGCTGCACTGATTTTTACCCACGTAACACACGCCCCACCCCTTCGCCACGGAACCCAAATAAGTTGTTTAACTCAAGAAGAGTCCAAGTATCAATTCAAAACAAAATTTCGGCCCACGTAATAGGGGTAAAAGCGTATCGTAAAAAAAGAAAGTGCTTGAGGCATGAACGGTGACATCAAAATGCAGCAAAAACTGTACTATTGTATGCACAACACACTGTTGTACTTGCGAACTTGTTTATCCGGAAAGAGGCGTTGTACACCATCGAGTTAGACACAAGCGGATAGTTTTACCACCGGTGCTGAGAGCGCACGAAGGAACCGTGGATGTGTTGTTCATATCCAGCGCAGAGGATTCAGCTTGTCGATTCGAGAAAGGAGGCGAAAAATAGCAAGAAACGGGGTGGAATGAAATGGTCCAATTACTTAATGTAAAAAATATCCAGCAGGTCTAACAAATTCACCGGAATAGTGCACACGAAACGCAACCGTGGCTGAAACGGAATGTTGTCGCTGAAAACAAGGTGTTGGAAATAAATGGAGGGAGAATAAGGGCGTAGAAAATGTTGCGTGACCTTGAGCGAAGTGCGTGTTGACGCGCTCAAACAAGCGGAGCACTATTAACCAAAGTAAAGGTGTGGGCAACAAAATATGGAAACAAAACCGACGGATATGAGGCAACATGCGTAATATCCTAGGATCACCGAATGGAAAAATGATTGGCGCTTTGCAAATGCTGGTCTCTTTCACACAAGGCAATTTAATGCGGCGGAGGAGGAGGATGATTCGAAGCAGTCAGCTTCAAAGGAGGAAGGCCCAAACGGTTGTGCATACACCCACGCAGGTACACACACGCACACACCCGGAATGGATGGAAAGTTTGTGAACGGAGACTCGTTGAAGAAAACACAGTCAGCAACGAGCGTCAAGTCAACTGGAATGAGCAGAAAGATGTGTGTGTGTGTGGCACAAATTTGTGGAAACAAACCAAGGAGATGGAGGCAATAAGACAGCGAGAGCGATGTACGAAAACCGGCTGGAAGACATTCGTGAGAAGGCGCCTTGTGATGAAACACCTGATCGATCCCGTGTGGTCGCAGAAGCACAAGATGTTGCTTGACTAACAGCAGGTGGCACAACAAGAAAAACAACAAAACAACAGCAACAGTGAGGAGGATGACGACACCAACACAAAAGAAGATAAAGCAGAAAATACCATGCTACAAGCGTGGCAATTCTCACGCCAAGGTTGTACGTGGGACAAGGCGGCACCACAAAAACCTGTGTGTGAAATCAGAGTGAGCAAACTGTGGAGGGGAGTGGGGTACGTGGTAAGCTTATTGAGGCAAGGCAGTTCGTGTACAAAAGGTGCATATACAAAATGGGAAACGACTGTGTTACACAGGAATGGTCAGTTGAAATAATCAATCACACGTGTGAACCGGCTGACTGGCTGTACTCTAGTACTCCACCTAGTCTGTACCAGTTACACGGCTCAATTGTACCGTGTCATGGTGGGGACGATGCCCTATGGATCCCGATTTGGTCAGGCGTCTGCGGCCACGTTGCAAATGGGACAACCGAGAGTGGTACGAGTTGATACGTTTATGCCTGCCCTCGTTCGTGAACGCTTCCAGAAGGCTGCTCTCATCCTGTGATTGCAATGTGTCCAGATCTGTGTCCAGTTCGAGTGACGGAAGGACAGTGGATATTTCGGTATCCACCTCTAATAACGTGGTCGTCTTCCCATCCTCGGCCTGCGATAGGTTTGGTTCCGATTCATCATATGTAGGCCGCGACCTCGGCGAGTCATCCGCCATTTTCTCCACTCGTTCGGAGTGACCAGTGCAACCATTCGACAAACCCACACGATCTGATTCCACAGCCGGCAATGTTCCCGTACCGTTCATCAAAAATAGATCCGGTTCATTGGAGTCTGAGGATGTGGGCAAATGAGGCCCAGAAAGGATTGGTATGGAGCTGACCGAATAGTGGTGGGCCGCCTTGGATCTAGGTGGAGACTGTTGACGGGATTGCTGCTGTGGCTGCTCTTCGCCTGCGAGCATCTTGCGCAACGCTTGCACCTCCAAGCTGAGCCCAGTCAGTTCGGTTCGGAGGACACGATTCTCTGTCTGTAACCTATCTGTTACTTCCACCCGGCCCATCAAACGAGCACGCTTGTTCTCCCGGCAACGTCGCACCGCTTCATTGTTGCGCCTGCGTCGATCTTGATAGCGCTTGTCCATCAATCTGGAATCGTTCGAATTGGAGAGAGTCCCCGCGCTAGACACTGATTCTGATTAAGATGAGAGGAGGGAAGGGGGAGAAATTGGAATGTGCCGAGGTGGTAATAGCGGCTGAGATCGTATGACATATATTACAACTATCCACGGAACACTGGAAAATGCTGTGCCTACTCGAGTGATCGGAAGGCGCCACACGCCTGGATATTCAAGCTTTGCGTGGCTCTGCACTCATCAAGCGAGTTGGCACCAGGAGAAAACACACCTTGGAATTCTCAAGTCCAAATAACAGCATGTATGCCTGCACAAAATCCACAGCGTGACTACATTCTATGGTAAACAACAGCTTATAAGGTGCAAAGCAGCGATTGTCCCACTTTAATGAAGTCACATAAACTCGGTTGCTGAAAATATTCAAGCGTCGAGCTGGGAGGAGAGACTCCCTTGTTGGGGTCATACCAGTTGAAATTCGTAGCATGAAATTCCCCTTATCATTCCAAATAAGAAAACTGTGGGACGCAAGTTATGAAAACACTCGGTCATTTCACGCATTTTTGTCGATCGCAAACATGTAAGTAACCATAGAGTACAGAGAGAAAGACAGCGGGTATCGATGGAGGGCCAACCAGTGGCACATCGATGCTCATCGCGCTACCATGTTAAATTTAGATTCGTAGGCAGCTGTTTTGCACGTACAGCATTGTACGCGCTCGGTCAATAACGATGGATTCCAACAGCCTGAGTATGTGGGGATTCTAAATGAGCATCAGGACAGTGAATGACTCCTTGAAGTTGACGAGGTGGTTAGCACTAACTGAATGCTTTGTGATCACCGAAGTAACTCAGTTTCTCGATTCACCCAGTTCCGTCGTCGCACATCTAAGCCGGCTCCAAACTACGCATGAAATGGAGAAGTGGCGTATCGAATCGATACTTGAGCACATCAAAGGTTTGAGTAGGTACAGCATTTTCTGGAAGAGTGAGCTCCTTACGGTTGACAAATGTGTAGAAAGAGACGAGCTGTCACACAAATGCATTGCTCCATCAAATTCAGACAGTGACCTACCAGATTCCTCGATGACTGCACTTCAGCAGGTGGCAACTTGGTTTATTCAACGTGTACAGAAACTAGGTGTTTGGATCATGTCACTTCGCTATCCTTGGTACCTACTGCTAAGTAGGAGTGACGTAGTTATCCTCTTGTAGAATGGCAGCTGGTGCGGTTTTTAAGCATGTATTAAAGATTTTACGCTGAAGCAACTCTAGGAGAGTAAAGCCGCACTTTTAGCGGGATCAACGTGTCTAGGTGGGATACCCAATATGCACATCCCATATTAGGGAGACTGACAGATCGAATGTTCCGAACTGGCCGAACAACCTCCCCGTGGTACCAGCTGGGTGGATCTCTTTTAGTCCATTCCAGCAAATAATTCGATGGCAGTGTTTCAGGTGGTGATGGATTTTCGCCTAGTAAGCACTCTGCCTATAAAAAATCAAAAATGTCTGTTTAGCAATATTGCGGCGTAGAGGTTGTGATTCGCTAACAAATGGATTCACTGCCCCTTGCTCATGCAGGTAATCATATCCGATCCATGGACATCAATCATCTTTTCGCACATTACTGACACGATGAAACAGTCAAAAGCGAAGTGGCACATTTACAAATCTAGGCAACACAGATTGCCGCACACATTTACATCTATATTAACATTCGTACGTTCACTGTTATGACAAACTCGTTATATGCCTACTCATTTCTCGAGCAGTCGTTGTCTTCGCCCCATGATCATGCTTGTGTAGGCATGCCTCGCGCAGTCAAGAATTAGTACTTAAAAACTAAACCCTCCCAGATCTCAAAGTGCCATATGGATTCACGACACTAGCAAACCAAGTCCTGATCCGAATGGTTAACCATTTTCGGCTGCACGGGCAGTAAACTGCACGACAGTGGAGGAAAATATCGCACTTAGTATTCAATCCGTGATGGTCGGCTCTCGTCCCCTATGGCTTAGTGGCATAAGCTGCTGGCTAATGGTACTAGCCACCTGCGGTCATGGGTTCAATCCCCTGCAGAGGACCGAGGGAACGTGCACCATTGACGAGCGTCAGTAAGACGAAACGATCGTCCGGTGCTTAACCGGATAACTAGCTCATCTTTGCGGCTTGTTCGTGTTTTTTTTTGCATCTCCTTTGACCTTATTCGAACCACGAAGGCCACGCAGTGCGAGCGCACTGAAAACCTTTTCATGGGAAGCACGCTGCAACTATTGCTCATCGAGGCAATAATCATAAAGGCCCTGGCACCAAGCAGAATCCAGTAACGATATGTTCCGGATCGATCGACTCTATCCAACTTACAAGCACGATTCTGGTGAAACCTTTAATGCCCCAGTATTGTTATGCCATATCACCTTTGTTGTGATCGGTTATCACGAGCCACGGTCTGTCTGACGATACATGCGACTCATGTGTGTGAATAAATGTCCACGTTATCAAGCGAACCACTGACTTGGTCGTGTGTACACATTACAGACGTATCCTTTGCTTGTCCGTGTTCTTAGTTACAATAATCCTAAATAACCCATGAGTGAGCGTATCTTAGGAAAGCACCGGAGAACGAGGTAATAGGAGATAATTCAGTAAACCGGGGTGACCACCACCTAGAAAATGCGAGTGACGATCCATAAACTCAGAATAGCTCATAATCTCGTCAGAACATTATTGAAAGAAACTGAGACAATCGTTATGTCGGGATATGGTAACTTTTTACAATACCAGTAGACGAACTCCGCTTGCATTTGGAGAACTTTGCTCATGCAAAAACAGTGCATTGACGCTCGTAAAAAGAACGCAACTAATCTCCGGCGGTATTGCGATCTGTGGAAGATAACACACTGTGTACCGTAGGATCACATTGCACTAAAGAACATTGGCCGCCTCCTGCCTGTGCGTGTTTGTTCCGCATGCCTGTTGCAGACAGCAAACTGGCCTGTAGATAAGTTTGACGGTTGCACCTATGGCAGCAGCTAAGGCCTGTTGGTGTTTTAATTTGTTAAATCGGACGTAATGCTTCCGTCGAGTTTCGCAGGCACCCGAAGTGTTCGTTCTTCAGGAGATATATGGGACCACCAAACGGAATCCCACAAGACCACACATTCTCGCGTCCTCCGTGCAAGATAAGTGGTAACCTTTCGTTCGTGACTAACGGCTTAGTATCTGGTGTGATGGTCACCAGGTGATCGAGTTGGTGGACGCCTGGTGAGGGGATGTGGAAGGTTCCTAGTTGGAAATTCCCGTATAGTAGACGCCCTGCCAAGGATGGACGTAGTTACATCAAAAGGTCATGAAACAGACCGTAGGTGTGCAGCAGTAGCCACGTTCGAATAAGACATAAAGTACGCTGAGGAGCAACAGGGGTAAATAAAATTACAGTAGTGAACTGGTGCACCATTTCGTTTGAACCACCACGTGTGCCCAACTGATGGATCAGAGACGGGTGAAGTGATTAGCTGAACATTCGAGGTTGTTTGCGCCGAACCCAATAGTGAAATCCAGGCTATTCTTCTTTGTATCCCGAATGGGGGTTATTCAGGGTATGCCAGGTCAAGTAGCCACTGAACAGCAGAAAGATAACCGGGTTAACGAGTCCTCTTTCCCGGACTTGCTGGTGCAGCACCCCCACTAGACTTCAGCATGACGGTGACTAAGCCAAACGACAAACTGTGATCTCACGCAGTGCACCAGTCCCTTCGACCATGCACACCGTCGATGAATAGAGATCAGGCTTGACTCTAAGTAAGGTGTTGCGCATATGGAAGGAGTAAACATATGCGATTCCAGGACTTACCGAGAGGTCGTATGAAGCTTCAATTGGTATACGAGTTGAAGTAATCATAATTCTTTGCCCTGCAGTAACGTACAACTTAATGCAGGGTGAGCCGCGCAGGGTCAAAGACGGCAACGTTGGTTACTGCAGTACTTCACTGCCCAGCCTTCTTGACCACAGAGACTTAAAAAAGGGATCGCGCGTTCTAGCTCCGCAAGGGACAGACCGGGTGCGCAGTGCCGCCGAATTAGCTATTGGAAAAGGACGACTGTTCAGTCAATGCTGAATTTAGGGAGCAGGCTGTGTTGTTGGGTTGCGACTCGCAACCTCTACTGAGACCTCGGTTCACTTTGAGGTAAACCTCGCTCATTCCGATCTCGAGGACCGTTCCATGAATGGATTTATTTGGGTGTTGCTCTTCCCAACACTGACAATGTTCAGTCATTTTCTTGTTTGGATGTATAAAGTGCATTTCCGGTTTCAAATTACTCAAACCAAGACTCTAAGTGTCTGCTATCAAGCTGACGTTCTAGGATTGAGTGAGTTAGATTTTACTAAGTCATATCTGAGTTGTGGAATCTCGCAACAGACCCCTCGGTAAATCCTCCGTCAAAATTGCCCCGTAGGTAAAGCATTCGCACTGGCACTTGCAGGAAAAGACATAACCCTTTTGCAACTCCATGGGATACAAGAAAACTCGTTGGCATTTTTGGGTTTCGGAGTGCGAGTCATCTTGGCCAAGATCTATTTCGAATTCAACATGGGCCATCACGAACTCAACGACCGTATCAGAAGGGCAGATATGCATGGCGTTGCTGCCTCCTAACACTGTGCTCTACGATCAACTGCATCTCCCTCTGTACACCCCAGTTAGAACCCAGTACCTTAGTGGTCAAAAGATCTGTCGGAAACCACGACGGCATGTGTTCCGTACCCAGTTTATGTTTTGGTATTCTAGGTACCCTAAACCACTACTGCATGCCGAGTCCGATACGTCCTCCGAAACCCATCGTGGAGCTGTTGGGAGTGAAAAACCACAAATAAGTACCTACAAATGCCATCATCCCTTTCTCGCTCACCTAACCAACTTCTGGGGGCACCGGACAACATTACTCTATCTTTCTGGGGATTTTTACTCCGAAAGCTTGGCGGGGATTTAGGCAGACGATAGTCAACGCATGCATCACGCATTGTATGTCCCATCCATCAGCGATTCAACTTGGTGGCCGTGTCCCACTGCACGTGAGACGACATACACCTCGTGGAGCTGTTGAGTGTGAAGTACGCTGGCGAGAATCGGGTCCTGTCCCGCCTGGGAGGTAGCAGGCACTCGTGCCAGTTGTATGTTGTCAATACATCGGTGACGCAATACTGCACAGACCCACGTTCGCTTAGGACGATAGAGACAAACGATACTGCGCGTTTCAGGTATCTGGGAAGAAAATATCAGGGATAACGCTGTCTGCTGTATGCGCAAAGCGCCACGTTCGGCTGAGTCATGGCGACCACAAAGTAGCCGGGGCAGCCTGCTCACAGTGCAGATGGAGCTAACCGTTGTCCGATCGGTATATGAGTCACAGCATCAGTCTACCCAAGCTGTTGTGTATACCATTATCGTCTGGCCGGTACTGTCGGTGGGCAGACGGTTCTCTATTGATAATGGACACGTCGTACGCTTGGATCCACATAACGCACAAACAACCATCCCGAGGAGACGCCAAAGTGGAAAGGCGTGTGGATGTGTGAGCGAGACGGCGGGCGGATGCACGGGACTGTCATTAGCTTTGGTGACCACATCACTTCATGTGATTGGATGGTTGGGTGGCCTGACACAACTTATGATTGGTCCCACATCCGGTGCGTCGTCGACCCTGTCATTCGAACCATCGATCGTGTGAGGGAGCCGCAAGCAAGCGACGCGCATTGGGCAAACACAGTAATCCAGACTGGCTTGCGCATACCACGGCAGGGTCGTTACTCATGCGCTAAACAGCCATAACGGCGTGTTATACGTATCCTGCGTCACCATAGCTCTCACCCTGTAGACGACTGCATGACAGAGTGGGCAGTCTGACTGCTAACCAACGCTAAAAGTCCGGGAAATAGTACACGGGCGCTGACTAAGTCGCTTCTCCCGCCACCACTGCCACCACCGTCACACCCGCGAGGATGCGATGACCAAATGGGGAATTCGGTCCGGAATACCGACTGAGTAACCAGTCCTCGGGATGCAAGGGTGCACCGCGATGTGACGTCCGTGTTTAGACAGCACGTGTCGCACGTGAAGACAGCTAGATGCATAGTGTCACGAATACGCGGGCATACCACAGTGACACCGAATTCAATCACGTGAATCATACCTATGCAGTGTGCAAGCAGCATGGACATAACAACGTGATTGGTGTCTGCTTCTCAATCTGCCTCCTGTGGGATAACCACTCGTGACCACACCGCGTAGCAAATAAGCTGTGTGTTTAGTGTCTCGGTTGTCTGCTCGAACTAGACAAAGCGCAGAGGAAGGAAGCTCGCGACGCAATCGGCCCATGCGGACGCGCAGGAACCACCGGTACCCACCACCTGCGTATGCGTGTGCATGCTTGGGTGTGCACAGTGATTTCCGTAGTGATAACTTAGGAAAGCAAAATTCCATCATATGGTTAGTTCTCCTACGTAAATGCTTGTGCTACCCGGTCTGGCCATAAAAAGACCCATCAGATAAACACTACGCAGTCGTGTCTACAAGAAACACCACCAATTCAGACGGAGACAACAGCAATCTGAAGACCAAGGGTTAGTTGTAATCACGAAACAGCCCCAGATGCTGCGCACCGAGTGAGTATATATCAAAACACCATCGATCTTGTGCACTTTCAGCCCTCAGGTGAAAACAAACCTCTCAGTCATGTGAAGTACTGCCTGTCTCAAGTTGTCTGACCGCATGTGCAGTACGTGTGTCATAAGGTTGAATGGGTCAACACAACGGTCAGTCGTCACGCTGCGACCATGTCTGACTTCGCGGGCGAGCATTGCAAAGTGTCGTGACTGGAGCGTCTGAGAGCCTGTGGTTCTGGCATACTGGCCAGACAGCACCCAACAGCTATGTGCTCCAGGGGTACTGCGCAATGGAATATTGACGCGCAACCAACAATCCAACACTCTATGAATTGTACGCACCGATGTGTCGGGAGGGCACCAGACTCAGTCGGCGAAACCAGAACGAATCGATTCCCCGGCTGTTGGAGGTGCGATTCGGTTCCACTTTTCACTTGGTAACAGTCCATCGTCTTAGTCCCTCCTGCTCCGGTCAGTAAGAAGATATCAGATGTCGTTACCCAACGCGCGACTCTGAGATTGTTACTTGGCTCGGTATAGTAAATCCTGGCACCTGGACCGCAGTTGATTCTGCGTTGACAAGCTTCCTGTCAAGTTTGTTTACTGTGATCGATTAGGAGGTACGGTGGTAGAAATCGCCTCGAAACACGAATAACTGAAAGAGATTCACACCTTTTGATTTCTTTCATTCGCGCCACCGGAATGTATATAAGTTTGGCAACAGTGCGACTTAAACTGATTTAGACAGAAGAAATGCCGGAAAGAACTGACCATACATTGGAAGATGCGCCAGTTCTTTCGTTTCGGGAATGGTCGGTAGGGCACAGTGTCACTCATCAGAAGCATACTGTCACCACATCCTGTGGCCTTAACGATGTCTTCGTTACAATGTCAAAGTGATTTGTGACTAGTTATTGCCGGTGTAGTTCACTTTCGTTATGGGAATATTCACTTAGTAATCATAATGGCGCCACTTGGCAGTCGATCGACGTGTTCAAGGGAACTGGGTCGCGTCACACAAATGGCAATGGATTCGTGTGAATGACTGTTGGTTAGATGGTAAGGCAGAGAAAAGAGAAATAGGAACCGCGAAGGTACCGCAGTTCGAGAATTATGGGGAGGGTATGTGAGAGGGTGTTTTGGTACGGCCTATAACTCCATTTTCGCTCAAGGGAGTAGGTTGTTATGTGTTACTGGCAAACATAGTTTATGGGAATAGAAAAGGTAATATACACAGAAGGAGTACCTAGGTGTTGCGCTCAGCAAGCAGCCATAACGTCGACACTAAATCCGTTCTAGTTGGTAGGACTAGTATACGACGCTGCTGGTTCTGCTCAGCTCAGGTACACAAATATGGTTCGAATGTCGAAGTTCGGTGACTCCAAGCATTTAACCGTAACGCAGGCATAGAAACTGGAGTCAAGCGCACAGTGGATTGCAAGATAGCGGTTAGGGTGGGTAGAATTGGCACACTATTGGAGAGTTGGCAGCTAACTGTAAGAAACCAAATATGCCAGCGCCACTAATTCAGAGACTGCAACCTGTCGAATGAGGTTTCCAAGTACTGATATGGTGTACCCGGGGAATTGTCCAGCTTGGCAAAGTGTTTAATCTCATTCACCACTGCATGAAGCACGCGGTCCCGCTTTACTGGTTACCGCGCTAGCGGATGATGCACGCCTAGCTAAAGTTCAGCAGGCATGTAAAACACCACTCGATGCCCCTGTCAGCCATGAGCAACACTCCATGGGCAATTGTGAACCAAGATGACCACCTTCGTGGTGCCTTCATCACGAATGTACCATGTCTCAAATGTACGCAAAAACCAACTTTGCTGCAGCGTTTAATATCTAACCTTTGACTGAGGAAGCGATATCCGACGATATCACATCACCAACCAGCTCAGCGAACTATAACTTTCCTCAATTCCTTACATCGTTCCCTCAAATGTTTGAATCGGTGATCTAGCAGCTACATCGCGTGCCTATGTGACACGTTGCACGGGTGCACTCGTGTGAGTCATACTCATGGACTGCTCGCGATGTGAGATCACGTGATCGACTTGTCACCAAACTTTTATGCAACTGCGATAGATAATCAGGTTTACGTTCATTATGTGCACAACAGGCTTACTATTATGTCCCTCTCCACAAGTCTTGAGTAGTATATTTATTGTAAGGAGGACAGACACGCAAAGGACACAGCTGTATTGTTTACACACGACCAAGTCACTGGTTTGCTTGCTAACTTGACATTTATTCACACACATGAGTCATGTGCAAAGGCCAGACAGACCGTGGGTCCTGACAACCAATCACAACAGTCCTACACCGCTACCTTAAGAGTATCCAGCTTCTCACGCTTCTCACGGTGATCGCCATCGCTGTGTAGGTTGCTCAGCGTGGTCATTTGGCAATGCTTCTGGTGCTATCCTCAGGGGTGCAAGTGATGGACAATTTGCTTGTTCCTCTGCAGGACTAACAGGCTATCGTCGCACTTGGTCCAACTGACGTTGAAGTACCCGCCCATCTTCCAATTCCGCTTCCACTGCATTAGCTCTTGTCCATCTCATAATCACTCGGATCCAAGTTCTATCCGTTGGCCTCAGTTGAACATACACTCTGTCGCCTGCCTCAACCACACGACCCTTCGTTTTCATGTCGTAGCGTTGTTTCATCACAGACTGGCGTTTATCGACCGTTCGATGCAGATTGGGTTTCATCAGATATAATCGAGGGCGCAGAAGTCGCCCCATCAGAAGTTCACACGGTGGATGATCCGTGGTAGTGTGTGGCGTAATGCGCTATTGTAATAGGAATTTGTCCAGGCGGGCTTGTAAAGTTCCGGACTGTTGGTTGGCCACACCCAGTTTAATTGTTGCAACCATTCTCTCTGCCAGACCATTGGACCAAGGGTGATATAGTGCCGAGAGAACATGCTCGATTCTATTTTGACGTAGGAATTGTGCAAATTCGTCGCTGGTAAATGTCGGGCCGTTATCTGGAACAACCGTACATGGTACACCATGTGTAGCGAATATATTCCTTAAGATGTGCACAGTGGTCGACCCAGTCATGGATGTGTTTGTCCGAGCTTCGATCCATTTGGAATGGACGTCCACTACAACCAGAACCATGAAACCGTCGATGGGTCCACAGAAGTCAATGTGTATTCTGTCCACGGGAGCGAAGACTATTGCCATGGCGACATTGACACAGGTTGTAGGGATGAGTCATTTGCTTGACAGGTAGCACACTATTGTACGGGTTGCTCTATCTTTGGATTGACTCCCGGCTACCAGAATGTAGTTACGTGCTAGTGCGCTCATGTTTGAAATTCTTTGGCGACCCATATGAAGTTCCCGCAGCATTGTTTGACGATACCGTTTGGGGTCGATGATTTGAGAGCCCCAAACTATACAAACGTCCTTGAATGTAAATGCACTTAGAATTTCACTTACCTGGTCCGGCCAACTGGTCAGGATATAAGCACGCACCTTCGACAGTTCCGGTTCACTCCACGTTTACGATTTTATCTCCGCCGCTGTCACCGGCGAATCATTCAAGTAAGATATGACTTGTACCAATTATATCAAAGCTGTCGTGTGGTTCGGAGTCTCTCGTAATGGAAGTCGGCTGAGAGCATCGGCACAATGTTTCTCCTTCCCGGGAAGATATTTCGGTTGATACTGATATCCAGCGAGTAGTGGAGCCCAGCAAAACATCTGGGACGATGCCATTTGGGATATCGCTTTTGATTCATCCAGGATTCCCAGTAATTGCTTGTGGTCTGTGTGTATCTGAAGTCTCTGCCCGAATAGGTATTGGTGAAATCATACAACCCGAAAAACAACCGCTAAGACCTTATCTATTTGGGCGTAATTTCGTTCGGTCTGCGATAGAGTCCGAGAAGCAAATGCAACTGGTTTGTTTACTCCGTTCGCCAGGTTGTAACAGGGCGGTTCCGACTCCGTACAGTGATGCATCAGATGTCAGCGTCATGTAATTTTCGGGGTCAAGTAGGCCAAAACCACTGGACTGGCCAATGTACTTGTAGCTTGACGAAAAGCCAATTCCTCTGTCTCAGCCCACTGAGGGCCCTTGCATAACAAACGATGCAACGAGTGTAACACTGTAACTGATTGCCGAACAAAGGACACAGCTGTAATATGTACACATGAGCAAACCACTGGTTCGCTTGATGGACATTTATTCACACACATCAGTCACGTGTATGACCAGATAGACCGTGACTCATGATAACCAATTACAACAATATTCTTCACCGCCGAGTGCCGCGTACGGGTGCCTTTTTGTGACATTCGGAGTAGATCAAGGTGTACTAACTGCACGGTTCCAATCAACTTGGTTTGCCTATGGTTAACTTCGCCGCTACGTTAATCACCGTACCAGTTAGTCGGTGACAAGGGGATCACGTGATCTCGTGTCGCGAACACATTGTACGGCTCATACGAGTGCACACGTGCATCGTGCCACATGGCGCACGCGATGTAGCTTCGAGCGTCACCGATGCAAACATTTGTGGGAAGGATGCAACGAATGGAAAAGGTATAGTGTGCGCTATCGAAACCCGGTTGACTGGAGCTCAAAAATGTCGGATATTCTGGCTGTTCTCTTGGCCTCATAGTAGTGTGACGTGAGGGCATCTGCCCACGAGAGTGTGTGTGCTGGTTCCTTGAACGGACGCATATACTGAGGACGCACTACAGGACGCACTATAGGACGCACTATAGGATATGGATGGAAATGTGGGTGGCTGTTACACGGGCTCGCGTTTGATAGTGTTCACAGCTAGATCGTTGACATCCATGACCGCCCTGTCACGTGATTGTGTTGCACGTACGCCCCACAGTCGTCTACTCAGACCGCTTACCACCCATGACTAGGTCCTTTCATCTGGTTGACTGATTGATCTATTGATCTTTGTGCCTTGTGTTTGCTCCGGCATGTCAGATGTTCAGTACAACTCGTCCAGCGCGATACGTTCTTTCATCCCGTTCGGAGTGTGTTCTGTTACAGTCAAACCTTATAATAGTGGCGCAGCGTTGGAGACCCCAGGGCGAATCCGATTTCAATAAGGCCGAGCATCCCATTCCAGTCCCGCTCCGGTAGAGAAGTGAACCAATGAAAAATTCGGTCACTGTGTTTGCGAACGCACAGCCCGGGTTTCCTCACCATTTCTCACCTCATCCAAGGGGGTCGGTATGTTACGTCACCAGGGCGTGGAAACATGATTGTTTGGCCAATGATGCTCGGGCGCGAGCGCGCGTGTGCGACGCACCAGTAAACTGCCCACGCGTGTACATACAAAGGCAGAATTTGGTCGGGAATGTGTTAACGACGGCAACGACGCTGCTACCGATTTGCAACCGCCAACCACGTTTAATCTCTGTACCACTGTTGGCGCGCATTTGCGCAGTTACGAAAGCAAACACATGCAGAGAAAGAATGGATGCGTCCAGCTGAGAAGACCAAGAGCAAGGTGACGGTGCACCGGGTGTACTAACTTATGTGCATACGTAGAACGGTGACAGGCTTAGAGTGAGTGGCGAGTGTACATCGAAGGCTCAGTTTGAGTACCCTGAGCGCTGCGACCAGAACCTGTGAACGGAGGTCAGAAGTGTGACCACTTTTGCTACACCGTTACGACTGAAGTTATTGACAATTATGGACAACCTGACGGCACGCATGTTCACCTCCAAGTAGGTGGGACGGTCATAAAAGGGGGTGGAGCGAGTTAAATAGACAATACGACACACACACAGGCACCAGCACAACTACTGCGCAACTAGTCGCATTATTTTTCTGCCACAGACGTCGCAACCGTTCTCGCGGTGAACAGTATTCACAATCGGCCGCAACCCGAGGAGTGGTTAAGTTGCTGTGGTCGTTATTGTTGTTGTCGTTGTGTTTTTACCAAATGAGTCACAACGCTTAACGTGAACGAGTGAGCATGCCCCACACGAGAAGACCTGTGTCACGTAGATTAAATGGAAGTAGTTGCTAGGGTTGATGACAGATGTGCTCAGTATGAGGGTTTCCACAATGCGCACCACATGCACACTGGACTGAATTTAAGCTCCAGGGTCGTTAACTATGAGAGTCAAAACCGCGCTCGTACACGTCGGAGGAGAGTGATTGCGGAATAAAAGCACACCAGCAACACAATGCGCCTGCGGCAGACGAGGAGTTTCTCTTGGGTAACTACATAGCTTTAACGCTAGTAGTTCGTGAGTGCCAACAAGGCCATCACTCTGTTGTCATCTACTTTATCGTGGGCCCGTCACTTTTATCATCATAATACGTTAGCTAAAGGTGAGAAAGACCTCGGTTATTGAGCTGCAAAACACAATGGTCAGATAAAAGGAAAAGAAAAAACAAAAAGCAACCGATAAAACATGCTGCATCGAGTATGAGATCGTAATTAGATATATATGGTTGGCGGCATCCGGTTTCGGATTTGCCTGTCACTGTGGCAAGCCACAGGACGCCTGCGCCTACAGATGGACCATGGGTGGCTTGCGCTGCACCACCCACTTCTCCATCCACACACCCCATATCCAGTGTAAACCCGAAGGAATAAGACCGGGAGGCATGTGGATGGGAGCCACTTTCATCAACGGAGCTGGCCCACACTCCTTCACAGGTAAACACAAGCACACTGTATTTGGGAATCAAGCGCACACAAGGCGGTGGCTGGACCGTAGTCCGCTCCACACTGAGTGCATGGAACCACTTCGAGCCTGGCACAGCCACAAGGACCGTGCACCCCGTCCCCTCCAGCAACGGCCAACAGTCACCTGGAACCAGTATGGACGAGGTAGTGGGTAATAGACAGGTAGGCACCTTGTCAACATGCACATCAAGCGCAGCCACACCGGGGATATCACGCAACAGCCAATCACTTGAAACGACAAAATGCAATGAAATAAATCCAATAATACATACAGATACGGTGGTATAACTCTTCGCTAAATTAGCATATTAAGTTACTTGGTTAGCAATGAAACCGCGATAAGGAAAAAATGTCCACAAGTTAATCAAAAATGCTACCAACGCGACAAAATTACCGAAGATAAGCGCAATTAGCGTAAACAACGTGGCCAGCTAATAGCAGATTATTCAGATAGGCAAAACTAACCAAATAAACTGGAATGAAATTTATGCAGCTTAAAAACAATTAGTTTAAGTGTAAGTTGGTTTAGCCCAACTGCGGTGAAGAAGCATCAAGAATGCAACATCAGCCTCAGCATGGGGCAAAAATTATATATATATATATATATATATATATATATATATATATATATATATATATATATATATATATATATTCAACACTATACCAATTACAATCTAATTGGATGAGTGCCACAACACATAAGAAGAAAAAGGTAGCATGAAAGGAAAGAACCGTTAGGGTAGAAGAGTCTCGCAGCAACTGCGTCATTGCGTGCGGTCCTTAGCCATATTCTCCAGCGTGTGCAACCAGGTGCGCTTGGGGTCCTTTGATCCCCAACCCGGGAGTCAGGAACGCCCGACAACGGCCAGCTTCATCGTTTGCGCCTTAACACATTGGATCCATGTTTTACATTACCCTCCATTTCGACGCTTCCAAGTCGCGAATAGAGGTCGTCGTGATAGCCACTGGCTAGGCATGCGAAGCACATGGCCAAACC